GTGTGTGTGGAGGCTTTTAAAATTAAGTCGAATGAGTTTTGCGGGCCGATGGCGGCCTCGTGCCTTTAGTGAAAACTCTGGCCTTTTCTAAAAGACATAGATCCGTTTGTTGAGTTTCGGCTCTGTGCCTGTGTGTGCGCTCCAGTGTTACGAGCTTGTTACGTGTGTTCTACAGAAGGTTGTGCGTTTGTGTGTGGTTTGGTAAGGGCATTCGGGGGGCTGACCTCGATGCAGGGCGGGAGGGAAAAAACGGTTTCCTTTCCCCTGATCTCTGCAGACTCTGGTTATTAAAACATGTTTCCCCCTTCCGCTGAAATGAAGGAAGGTGAGCTGCCGACCCCATCAACATGTGCAGCACCATTAAAACCTGGAGGCAGAAAGGAGAGCACACTGAAACAGGAATGGATAAAGCCATTTTTTTTGATAACTTGATGGATTTATTATTGATCCCACTTCGTGGATTTGATTAGAAGTCGTTTTTTAAATCCTACAGTTGCATTTTTTTTTATTTTTAACTTTCTTGTTATTAATAATAATTATTAACAATATATCAATTACTTAATGCATTTTTTGCTACATATTACAGTTGTGCTGCACATATTAAAAGATCTGCTGCAAGAGAAGAGACACCCAGACATGCAAGCATCAAGGAAAGAAGTGTAGAGAGTCTGAGGACAGCTGAGGGATGAGGGGGGGGGGAGCCGAGAGGATGCAAAGAAAGGAAACATTCATGGCTGTATGTGCACAGCTATGCAGTTAGTGGCCAGTCGGCCCCGTTGGCCGCCTCTGCATGCACCATCACCTCATCACTCAGCAACCTGCCTGGACGCTCAGCGGCCGCCGCCCAGTCCTCCCCTCCTGCTGCTGCTGCTGCTGAAGCAGCCACATTACAACTGCGTCCCAGCAGAATGAGCCGTCACCTCATATCTCAGTGCAGGTATGGGCTCATTCATGAGTGCTGGACACAGATTTAACACGAGGCCAGTCGCTGGGATGACTGGTGGCCTGGCAAGCTGATGGATGGCCTGTCTGTATGGTTGAAGTTGTGCTGCTGTCTGACTGGACGCCATGATGACTGTGCTGAGGTCATTGCAGACGGATGAACCAAAACGGGCTGCGGGTGAATCGTTTTAGACATCAGATATTATAATAATGAGCTGGCTGGCTTGTTTAATTAGAAACAAAACAACATGAAATCACATTTGGAGTTGCAAAGTTTACGTTACATGGTCTGCAGGTCAGTAATTGCTCTATACCTCAGTGGTTCCACAAAATGCCTGGAGTGCTTCATGTATTCACTCGCACACACACCTAACACAGCAGAGGGCAATGCAATGTGATTAACCTTTAAAGAGGCTTCAGACTGTAAAAAATTTTAATAAAACAATAAACTGCTACTCAAAACCTTTTTGCAACCTATGTTATTTTTTTTAAATGTTGCCTACTCTTGTCAGGTCTCATATCTCCAGGAGTACATTAGTCAGAGACTCAGCTCAATAATAATTATCTAAAGGATAAAAAGGCCAGTGAAACAACTGAAACAATTCAGTTTTATTTATATAGCACCATATCACAACAACAGTCCCCTCAAGGTGCTCAAAATCCTACAATTAGACAATCCTCTATGAGCAAGGACTTGGAGACAGTGGGAAGGAAAAACCTCCTTTTAACAGGAAGAAACCTCGAGCAGAACCAGGCTTGGAGGTGGATATCTGCTACATCTGTGGAAATCGTTTATGCCAAGAAATAATAAAAATTACTCTAAAAAATATTTGCAAACAGATTACAAATGTAAAATAAATAAATTGAAATCTCAGGAATTTCCTATTGAAATTCTACTACTACTACTGCAGTTTTTGAATTCTAGCTTTTGGTTTGGATTACTTTCAGCAGTGGATCTTTATGTACTTGGTACCTTATGAGTACTGAAAAATACACTTCTCCTTTAATATCTATAGAAGACTTTGTAATACGTGCAAAATATATTTTAGCAACATCTTGCTGAAAAAGATGTCATCTGAGTGTCCTTCATACGTCATGCCATCCACACCACATTCACCAGTGTATCATTGTCAGGTTTTCTAATAAGAATGTTAGATTGTGACTGTGTGTTCTGGATGTTGTGTTACTAATTTACCTGATTAGCTGTCAGTGACTTTGCACCAGGGTTTTGTTTTCAGTGCATTTGTGGCATAAGATTTGCAATAATCATACAATTTTTTTTAAACGTAGGCACACTTTATTTTTATCTATATTTTAACAATTTATTTTAATTAAATTCAGGGAGAAAATCCTTTGTAAATTATTTGTTCTGCTTTTTTGTTCATTTAAATTTTACACAGTCACACTCATTTACACTTTACTGTAGCACAGCATGTAATTACACCAGACAGAAATGTCATTTCTTTTGCTGGATATGTTTCCCTTTAAAAGCATTAACTGATCAAATTAAATACATTAATAAAGAATGGACACAAGGAAAATATTCAAGTGCCAACATTTCAAGCTTGTTATGCTCTTCTTCAGTCGCACTGTTCAAGAGTTGCTGTGTGAACTGTTCAACAGAGGAGCAGCGCTGCTGTAACAGGAGGCCTGTCGCTGCCGACAGCACCTATCTCAACTATGGGTCATACACATTTATAGCTCATATCACATTCACTGGCTATAGACAGCAGCAGATCAAGTCAGCATTTGTGAGTAGATCGTATCCTGCTGTACATAATTTCATGCAGAGTATACAATGACAGACTATAGCAATGTAGACCGCATAAAGTAACACAATATCCTGTCCATCAATTTCTAATGTAAATACAGACTGTTAAAGAACACATAGTGTTAGAGAGCTAATACTCACTGCCTGGAAGAAAGGAAAAATAATAAGTTACAGAGGAAGAAACGTTGTTTAGACATCACTTTAGATTACAGAAGAACTAAGTAGAGAAGTGGATCACCTGCGACAACTAAAGCTCAGCATCTAATCCAGAGTTTTTTGTGCTTCTTTCACTAACAGATGGGTGTCGCAAATGTGTACGAGCACCAATGAAGCTGCTTAGCCTGAATATCTCAGATCTGGGGCCACTGCTTTAGTTTTATTCAGCTATCTACTATTATGGCCTGAGCTGCAACAGGAGTTGTGAGATATCCTAACATGGACTAATGCATTAGATCAGACACGAAAACGGGCGCGCTAAAGCCGGTTTAAGCAAAGCCAAGACTGCCATCTAGTGAATGAAACATGTCATTCTGCTCCCTGGGCCATTAAAAAAGGAGTCACTGCTGCCTTTTTAAGGAATATTCAAGGTCGTAAGGCAGGGGTCCCCAATCCCAGTCCACGAGGGCCGGTGTCCCTTCAGGTTTTATATCTCACCCTGGGTCAACACACCTGAATCACATAATTAGTTCATTACCAGGCCTCTGGAGAACTTCAAGACATGTTGAGGAGGTAATTTATCCATTTAACTCAGTTGTGATGGATCAAGGACACATCTAAAACCTGCAGGGACACCGGCCCTCGTGGACTGGGATTGGGGACCCCTGTCGTAAGTCAAAAAGAATACAAAAGTGACATCATTGTGGCAAAAAAGATTGATGTACCTTCTTGTTCCATGCCAATGACAATAAACTTGCAGATTATCGTGAGGGCAGGACCCAAATAAATCTTTGGATTCATTTTTTGGATCCTCCTGCAAACACTGGACATGAGCTTTGGAATAATCGGCTTGCAGGTACACGGGGATGCAAAGTGCTGTAATAAAGGCTCTAATAAACAATAAAGCCAGGCTTGCTTGCAGGAACAGTGAGGATGAGTGAAGAAAGAGGGAGAAAGTCAGCAGAACATTCTGTTACTGAGGAAGAAAAAAAGGAAAACACCCTGAAAAATGGCACTTTGGGGTTTCATATTCTGCACAGACCATTAAAACTCTATTTTATACTGTTACCTCACTGTAGGTTCAGTGAAATGTCACACACTTTGGCTCAGTTTGAGGCGAAAGATGCTTGTAGATTTAAGGCCTTTGAATTTTTCCCATTTTAATCAGTCTGCGATGATTAATCTAAACCACAGTCGGGTGCTAATGCGCTGCCGGTGTCGTCTGAGTGTGTGTGAGAGTGCAGCCTGGGATTTTCCTGAAGAATTTTTAATTTTGGTAGGTGAGATATTTACAGCTTTGAGACCAAATCCAGACTCATAAAAACACACACACTTTTTTTTTTTTTTTTTTTACATGCCTCTAAATACAGAGTTAATTTGCTTTTTTTGTCCTCTGTGACATTAGTACATGAACAGTGAGTGTGAGGTGTTTTAAAGGGTTCATTTCATTATTCCAAAAAGCACCCTACCGTCAGGAAATAAACACACTTGTGGAAAATGAAGTGTCTGATGTGGGTGTGAAACTTTTCTAAAGGCCAGAAGATTAGAAAGCATTCAACAAACCTACGCTGTTCACATTTGTGCAGCTCACAGAGCTGGAAACCAAGATTTTTCTCCCATGCTATGAATTATACTTACCCCATCTACCAGGCCTTGGGGTAATAAATTCAGGATAGGTTACTGGGGCTATAAAGTCAAGCCACATCTCCCTAATTTCAGTAGTGGCTGGCTGCACTGAGGCCAACTGGAATCAGGGGACTTGCTCTGTGGGGCAGGGTGGTAACACCCAGGTGGTCTGGAGCTCAGGTAGTCTCTGACATCTTTCAAAACGACTGCCACGTCCAGACAATCTTTGGCCTTGGTTTGGCTCCGGGCCTGAATTGCTCCCTTTGGGCTTGTAGATCAGAAACCAGCTTAAATCATACATGTCCTTTTGTGTTTATGGCGAGCATGAATGGAGTACTAGTGCTGCTTTAAACCTGAATCTATTTAAAGTTTAACTATATTTGAATGAATTTTATAGAAACCTGAGGAAACACAGGGAAATGCTGAGAATCCACGCTACGTTTCTCTTTGCCATCAAGGATTTATTTGTTTTGAAAGCCCCCCCGCCCATAAAACTTCCAAGTACTGTGAGAAAACCTCAGACGCAGTTTATTTGGGAAAAGAAGCTTGCCACTGAATAACACTTTGTTACATTAGTTCAGGATTTAATAACATATTAAAAGCAACAGTGTGAGGCATCTGGTCCACTCCTGGAATAAAGCAGAATGGGGTGGAGAGTGGATGTTTATACGAAAACAATCCAAAATGTTCATTATAATTCAAGCAATGGTCAAGACGGCCCTCTCCCTCTTCCTCCTCTTTTTCTTCTTCTCCTCCAGGCGACCTGTAGCGTCGGCAAAGAACATGATGTCCTCTTTGCTCTCGATCTCCCGCTGGAGGAACTGCAGGGCTGCACTGTTAAAACCCATCACATCCTGAAAGAAGGAAAGTAAGAGTGGAGAGAGAATAGAAGCAACAATCGGTTAAACGCCAAAAAGCTTTGCTCGTCCCGCTCCCTTCCACTCAGATGTCACTTACTCTGATTTCCCGCACTTTTGAGAGTGTATTGGTCCGTAGTTCATCGATGACAGACAGCAGCATCTGGTTACTGGAGATCTGACCAAAATGGATCCTAGAAATAAACAAAACACTTTTATTAGGTGCACCTTGCTAGTGTTATTCATGGTGTGTTATCCTGCTGGAAGCAGCCATCAGAAGATCATCACTTGCAGTCATAAAGTGATGTTAACGGTGAGCAACAATACTCAGGTAGGCTATGCTTTTAAGTGTGCCATGAAAATATCCTCCATTCACTACCTGCAACCTGAACTGTTGAAAAAAGGACATATGGATCCACGTTTTCATGTCCGTTTCATCCATGTGTCACAGAAGAAACCGATCCTCATCTCATCAGCAATTTGTAGCCTCGGCTTCCTGTTCTTATAGCGCCTTTGAATAATCTGTATTTTCTCAACATTTTAGTTTCGTTAAAACATTTGATCATTGAAATGAGCTTCATAACACCTAAAAAACACACCATTCTTATGTTAATTAGTTTTTTTAATTTATGTTTTAAATCTTTTGTTGTTTAAATTTTTCATGCAGATCCCAGACTCCTGAGTCACCACTCAACTGCCCAAAGATTAAATCTGACTATAAAACAAACAACTATAATAAAGCACATCTTACTTGAGAAGGAAAAACAGGCAGCGGCAGACCAGCTCCACCTCCAGGCCCTGCTGGATGTAACTGTTGAAGAGTTTCAGGAGCTCGGGGACATAAGGAAAAGGAAGCACCAGCAGAGAAACCTCCAGCTCACTGATGATCACAAAAAAAGCGTAAAAAAGAAAAAAAATCTGAGTGTATTTAAATGCACAGGACAGTGTAGGCAGATGGTAATCAGCTTCACATGCAACTATTTGGTGAGTGCACTTTGCTTGAATCTTACCTCGATCTGACCTTCTTTATCACATCTAAAACGTAGCGGGAGGGCTTAAAGAGGGACAAAGACAGATTGAGTTTCTAGCTTGAGCTGAAAACAAGGTTTATTTGTGATCTCAGTATGAAGACATTTATTGTTCATAACTCTCTCTTACCGAAACATTTCCAAAGGCCATGAGGATAGGGTTGGGTTGCGGTGGAGGAAGCTGCAGAAGAGGATGAACTGTTTAATGTGACCTGTGATGCTTTTTAAAAAACAAAAAACCTGATTTAAACTTCTCTGATGTGCCTTTTAATCTTCTCCTGCACATCTGGACCCAAGTCTGTGCTTCTGCCAGTATTTACATGACTCCCTG